AGGTTTGTTCACCCCACTCCACCCTTTAAACTAGTAGGAAGTTTGTCCCCAACGTGGTGGACTTTCATAGTCATCTGCCTTGGTGGTGTTCCTGTGTAAAAATATATCCTGCTAGGTGTCCAGTGAATTAAATTTCTCTTGACTGGTTTGATCTTGTATGGGGGCTGTCTCTTAGTGGGTGAATTGAGTTGATTGACTTTTTCTTTTCAAATTTAAGAAATAATATTACTTGTTACAAAGTAAAATGTCTTATTAAAATCCCATATGTCACAGGTAAAAGTTAAATATTATGAGATTATAGATAGTACTAGAATATATTAAGTTGTGATATGAAACTAAATTTAGAAACATGGCTAAGACATAAAGAACTTTGTGTTCAGGTTGATCTTAACTACTCAGGAGAGTAACGCATATCCAACACAGAGCCCAGCCATCAAGTTAAAATATTTCCCATATCAGATCAAGAGGTAACACATCCATAGTCTTCTGTGGAATCTTGTGTACGCTTATGTTTTAAGTAATAATAAAATATTGTTTCCCTTATGCTTTCTTTCTGTGTCAGGTGGGGTCATACTACATAGGAAGGGACCTTACAAGTAGAATATTTTAAAAGGAAACCATTTAAAATTTTAAGTGCCATAGAGTTCTTTTAAAATCAATTCATGGTCTAATAACCTGGCATTCTGTGTCGGTCACCTTCCCAACATAATCGCCGAAGACAAAATGGGTGCATAAGCATTGTGGTGAAGAAAGCTGATGGTGCCCGGCTATTAGAAGATAGAGCGTCTTGTGTCTTAAAGGCTTGAAGTTAAACAAGCGGCCACCTAGCAGGGAAGCAACAAAGACCACATTAAAGAAGCACACTAGCCGGTGTGATCACGGGTGTCAATGGGATCAGGCATCAGACACAAAACAGTCATGTGGATGTGAATAGGGGTTTGGAGTGGAGACCCGAAGCCCACATGTTGACAGTTCAACATCCCCTCACAGAAAGGTCATAAGGAAGGGATGAGCCAGTCAGGGTGCAGTATAACTCTGATGAAACATACAATATTCCTCTAGCCCTTTTTTGTAAAATCATTTTATTGGGAGCTTGTACAACTCTTTATTTCCCAGAGTCGAAATCTTCCTGCCAGCAGCACCGATGGAGATCCAGCTTAAGCCGCTTGTACAACTCTTATTACAATCCATGTGTATATATCCATTGTGTCAAGAACTTTTTTTTTCCTAATCATTTTATTAGGGGCTCATACAACTCTTATCACAATCCATACCTACATCAATTGTGTAAAGTGCATTTGTACTTTCATTGCCCATGTCAAGAACTTTTGTACTTTTGTTTCCCACATCATTCTGAAAGCACTTGTTTCCTTCTTGAGCCCTTGGTATCAGCTCCTCATTTTTGCCCCTCCCTGCTCCATCTTCCCCCATGAACCCTTGATAATTTATAAATTATTATTATTATTTTACATTCCTCTAGTTCTTTAATGCTTCTTCCCCCTCACTATTATGACCCCAGTTCTACCAATCCGGCTAGACTGGAGCATGTACATTGATATAGATAAGAGCCCTCGATACATGGGATCCAGGACAGATAAACCCCCCAGGAACAGTAATGGGAGTAGTGACACCATGAGGGTAGGAGGAGGGTGGGGGAGAATAGGAGAACTGGTTGCAATGATCAACACTTATTACTACCACCAGCAGCCCAAGGGGGATGAACAGCAGGAAAATGAGTAAAGGGAGACAGTGGACAGTGTAAGATATGAAAACAGTAATAATTTATAATTTATCAAGGGTTCATGAGGATGGGAGGGTGGGGGAAGGAGGTAAAAATGAGCTGATACCAAGGGCTCAAGTAGAAAATGTTTTGAAAATGATGATGGCAACATAAACAAATATGCTTTATACAGCTGGTGGATGGATTGCTGTAAGAGCTGTAAGATTTGTTTAAAAAGCAAAAACAAAAAACTAACAACCACTAAGTTGATGCTGACGCATAGCACCCTATAGGGCAGAATAGAGCTGTTCTGATGGGTCTCGTAGACTAAACTCTTTACAGGAGTAGAAAGCCCCATCCTTCTCTGGAGGAGCATCTGGTGGTTTCAAACTGCTGACTTTGTGATTAGTGGCCCACCTTGCAGTTAGTAGCCCAACTCCGTAACCACTCTGCCACCAGGGCTCCATTTCATCCCTATATACTTGTGTAACTTTGGTTAGAGTGTATGAAACCTAAGCGTTCCAAAGGAAGGAAAAAATAATAAAGTCAAGTCATGGATATCTTTTAAAAAAAAATAATTTTATTGACATATAATTCGCATACCATATACTTCAAGAGTTCTGCAACCAACTTTTCACTGAACTCTGAGAACAAGGCTATTCATATCCCTATGCTGTGGTCAGAAATTCACTGAAGGCCTAATCCATTTTTCCTCCTTTTTTTTTTTTTCTTGAAATGAGCCTTTGAAATGTGTCAAGGGAGATCAAATAACATTTTAACTTAGCCGCTTCTGTCATAATTGTGTTTACTGTCTTAATAATAAGGCTATTTATATCCCTCCACTATGTACCCTGCAAATGAATTTTGGGCTTATACTGTCATCTACAGCCCTACTTCAAACCAGGTGTTCACAGTTTAAGCTCAGATACCATTCCCTCCTTCAGTTTGAGATTTTATTACTCAAATCCTTGTGTTACACAAATTATATGCTTCTTCCACGTGGATTTAGATCACACCTCATTTAGATGGCTGCTTGTTAGAGAACAAGCGTTTGAAACCTCAGATGCTATTCCCTAGAAAAGCCAGGTGCTATTTAGTTTCTTTACCACACCTGGATAGAGTACCCGTATCTTCAGTGCTATCTTTGTGAGCCTTAAAACCAAGCAGGGCTATGTCTTAAGAACGAATTGGTTTTATTTTGGGGTTAGAATTAAGTGCAAGTCCAAAATCCAGTCACAGATCTATGGTTTATATATTGTTAACTTTAGAGACCTCATTATCATTTATGATAGAGAACATTATTAATCACCCATAAGGTAATTCGATTGATGTTGTCATTAATTTATCCATTGGTATAAAATTTAGTACGCTGCTGAGAAGAGGAAATTATGTGTATAGGAATTACACGAATTGTTGGCCTATGCATATTAACTCAAGTGACTAGACACTACTCAAATATCATTTATGGCGGGTTGGTGATAAGGCAAATTTTCCAATAGCACTCATTCACAAAACCGCCAGAACCTTAATCATTTTTTTAATGACTGCATTGTATTTCATCCTTAACATGTGCTAAATTCAGCTTTGATGAGGCAATTAACCATTAAAAATTAATTTCCTGATTATGTCTCAGAATAGACATGCTAGAGTAGTTTATTGCTCCAGAGGAAAGTGAATTTTCTGTTCAGAAAGAGAGTAAATGTTTACATTGTGACCTATATTCTAGTTAGAAGTTTATTCAAGCAAAGTAATCTTTCCTAGTATTAGTCAAAGCCCAATTAGAGATGAAGGTTCGAAGATAATAAGAGGCATTTTGAACAATTAGAAATGATGTGCTTTGCTTAAGACATACCAGAGTTCACATCTCAGCTTGTTATTTTCTACCTGTAATGAACTTGGCCCTATTATTTAATCTGTCTGAG